AAAAAACAGAAAGGTAATCGCTTTTCCGGTCTTAGAATCGCCCTTTCATAATGCAAAAAACTGTATCTTCACGCCTATACACATTACCCACACACTTTAGGCAACATTTCTAAACCGAAGAAAAATTCTGTTAGGTCACAGTTCATTCACTGATCTCTTCACTTAAAGAACAGAGCCTGATATTGCTGACCAAAACAAAACCTTATGCATTGAAATAGCTATCATCTAGACCACCATATATGTGGGGTAATCCAAAAAAGTGGTAATCCTACCTCCATCTGTTCCTCTTCTTCAGCTGCATCATATTCACCGCTCTGCTCCAACTCTTTCTTCTTTTGGAGTTCTTTCCATCTTTTTACAGGGTCCGGATCAAATCCTAAAGAAAAAATGTTTTCCAAACGTTTGACGAACTTAGCGTTGAAGACCTTTCTTGACGAGTTGCTCGACAATGGCCGCCTTTTTCTTGTTTTCCATGACTATTTCTCCTTTAATCTTAGCCAAGATAAATCGAGCCTGAAATGGAACTTTTAAGAGCACAAATTATAAAACCTGGCAAAAATCATGATCACCTGATTTGTTAGACGATTAGATTGCGATTTCAGCATTCCCTCCATGAACGCCTTCCTTTCAATATACTTCTGCTTTCTCGTCTCGAAGAATTCCGCACAAATCTCTTCTGGAGAGTTGAACTTGCGTAGGCAGCCAGCAGCATCGAAAAGCACCTAAAAGAACGAAGTAGTAGCACAACAGACGAAAAAAAAACTAATAAAATTACCATAGACGTGGTATTCAGCACAGTTTGCAGTTTGAACACTTTGTGCAAGCCTTCACTCTCAAGCTCTTTCATCCTTCCATTCGCTATCTTTATGACAAAGCGTACAGTAGTATCAGTATGATACTCTTTGAAGTCACTAAAGCGCATTTTGAGAAAATGCTGCATGATTCTCAAGAATCACTGTCTTACCTGATGAGTGGTGTCTTCTTATCACTAGAGTCAAGCATAGGCTCCAGGA